ACAGGAGACAGATGTTTGCAGATGTTCAGAGCTCCTCCTCCCACCTCCAGGAGCTCACAGACGTTTGACAAATCCCCCCGAGAAAAGGAAACCAGTCTGAACTAAACTTTAGTGATGTGAGCGGAAGAATACAGAAAAAATAAAAGAGATAGATTTAGAGATACAGTAGATGATAGATGGATAAAGATTAGTGTCGTAGAACTCAAGACCTGCCTCAAGACTACATTTTTATTTATTTTTTTACGGACTTGGTCTTGTCTAAGTCTTGTCTCAGTCTTGAAGCCGCTTGGACTTGGTCTTGTCTCGGTCTTATCCTGGTCTTGAAGGTGCTTGGACTCGGTCTCATCTAAGTCTTGTCCTGGTCTTGAAGGCGCTTGGACTCAGTCTTAAACGAGTTTGGACTCGGTCTTGTCTCGGTCTTGAAGGTGGTTGGACTCGGTCTCATCTAAGTCTTGTCTCGGTCTTGAAGGCGCTTGGACTTGGTCTTGTCTCGGTCTTGTCTCGGTCTTGAAGGCACTTGGACTTGGTCTTGTCTCGGTCTTGTCTCGGTCTTGTCTCAGTCTTGTCTCGGTCTTGAAGGTGCTTGGACTCAGTCTCATCTAAGTCTTGTCTTGGTCTTGAAGGCGCTTGGACTCGGTCTTAAACGAGTTTGGACTCGGTCTTGTCTCGGTCTTGAAGGCGTTTGGACTCAGTCTCATCTAAGTCTTGTCTCAGTCTTGAAGGCGTTTGGACTCGGTCTTAAACGAGTTTGGACTCGGTCTTGTCTCGGTCTTGAAGGCGTTTGGACTCAGTCTCATCTAAATCTTGTCTCGGTCTTGAAGGCGTTTGACTCGGTCTTGTCTCGGTCTCGAGGTCTGACACTCGACGAAAACAAAGATAGATTTATAAAAGCGTTGATCTATTCGTACCAAAATAACTGTAAAATACAAATAAATGTTGAAAATGACAAAGACGGTCTCGATTTGGTCTTGAGGGGCCGTGGTCTTGGTCTTGTCTTTGTCTCGACCTTTAAAAATCTCGGTCTTGTCTCGGTCTCAGGACCCTGCGGTCTTGGACTGGTCTTGTCTCGATTAGTGCGCTCTTGACTACAACACTAATACAGATATAAATATAGATAGGAAAAAAGAAACACTTCATGACATCACAGGGTGGAACAGAGCGTTTGGAGCTTTGGAGATGTAGACAGACTCATAATAAAGAGTTACTCAAACACAAAACACAAGTCCAGCTCTGTTTTTGAGGAGGTAATAACATGAGAACACGACTTGAAGCTCCCAGGAGTCAGTTTGTTTAATATCAGACTTTCGTTTGTCTTGCTTGTGTCTTGTCCTTGTGTCTGGAAGGGCATCAGGTGTAAAGTTCTAATTTGATCTGTGGACTGTTTTAGGAACTCTGGTCTTGAGGTGGACTCCGGTCAGACCAGGGTCCTGTCCTGCGTGGTCCTGGAGGCAGAAGACCGAGACTCAGACCTGGACCGGGTCTTCTACGTCCTGAGCACAGTCCCCAGACAGGGGGCGCTGCAGAGGAAGGTAACACACTGCACCGGACAGGACGCCATTTTAGGGACTTTGACGTGTCTGAGTCTGAGTCATGGATCTGTTAAAATAACTGGAGGAACTACAGAGAAAAAAAAACAGTCTGGCCCAGAAAGGATTTTTCCCACAGAGCAAAAAGTAACAAACTGCTCCTGTTCCTCTGACAGGGGCTGACAGGGACTGACAGGGACAGGGGCTGACAGGGACTGACAGGGGCTGACAGGGGCTGACAGGGGCTGACAGGGGCTGACAGGGACTGACAGGGCACCTACAGCTTTCAAAAATGTCAGATTTTTTTTTAGATTTTTACCTTTTTTCAGATGATAAACTTGTTTGTTGTTGTCTTAAAAAAAAAGTCTTTTAATCGTTCGCTCTGCTCCACTCGGCTCCTCTCACTCTGATTGGTCAAAATGATCACATGACACACGAGACCACGCTCCTTGCACACGCTCACTTGCATTGGCGTGTGCCCGTGGGAGAAAAGACGCTCCTGCACATGTTCAGTGGGCAGAACCACAGAAAGAACCTCACCACTAAAGACCAACCTGGAGACGTGAGACTCTGAGCTCGACCACAGAACTCTGATAAAACCTGAAGATGAACCCAAGATACGTCTTGGATACGTCGTTCCATATTTACTTCCTCACTCTGGATGAGCTCCTCCAACTGTAACGTGCACAGCGAGGAGCGTTTGGACCAATCAGAGCACAAGCTGCTAGAGCGGCTCAGATCCAGACTTTTCCCGCAGTGGTTCTGATGATAATTGGAGAATTGTCTCATCACACTTTCCGTCTGTGAACTGAGGAGGAGGAGGAGAAGGGAAGAGCGTCGGAGAAGGAGAAGAAGAAGACAAAAGCTCAGCCCACTTCCACATCCCGCTCACAAATCCAAAGAGACGTGGATCAAAGTCACGAGACACGATTGGAGGAGCCGGATCGAAGAACGACACGACGAACATGAAACACCAACATTATTTTAACAAGAACAAACCACAAACATGATCCAGGAACCAAATTCAGTCAGATTTAAAATCAGAATAAAACAAACACTTACTGCACTATTAAGATTAATTCACAATCATCATTTTCATTTCAAGTGTTTACACAGACTTTTTAAAGCAGAACTAATTTATATTCAGAATTAAATCTCTCATGTGAACGTCCTGTTCTGGTTTACAGAATTGGTTTTAAATAAAGAATAAGGAGCTGTGGATGCAGTTGCCATGACAACAGCGGTGGCCGTTTTGCAATTAGAAACGAAAAGTCTTAAAATATAACGTAAGACTGGGACCAGAAAAGCTGCTTAAAGACTTTAAAGGGAAAGTTTGGGATTTTTGACATAAATCTGTGTGTCGTCCCCGTGAGCAGCGTCACATCCACACTGACTCACCCCGACAGCGTCCGCTGAGTCCAGACACTGGCCGTTTTCGGTGCTGATGAAAGTCGTCCGGCAAGTTGACTGGGGACTGTGTAATAAAGTGTTTTTCTTCTCAAAACAACATGTGTTTAAAAGTTCTCACGTTAGTTCTCTCACGTCGCAGCGTCTGCGCATGTAAACACTGACGAACAACTGAACAGAGGGATGGATCCGTGCGCGGCTGTCACCTGGCGCAGTGATACGAACGGAAAGAAAATAGTGCCAAGCGATAATGAGGTCTGACTTTTTTGGCGACGATGGTTTTGTGATGCAAATGTTTCACTCTTTTGAACACAGATTGTTTTGAGAAGAAAAACACTTTATTACACAGTCCCCAGTCAACTTGCCGGACGACTTTCATCAGCACCGAAAACGGCCAGTGTCTGGGTTCACCGGACGCTGTCGGGGTGAGTCAGTGTGGATGTGACGCTGCTCACGGGGACGACACACAGATTCATGTCAAAAATCCCGAACTTTCCCTTTAAACTGAAAACAAAGTTAGTTTTGTGTGGACTGATCTCCTATTGGCCGCTTCCTCTCGTCTCGTCTCTAGAGCGGCTCTGATTGGTCGGTTCTGTATCCGGGGCAGAACTTCACTCAGACCGACGTGGAGATGAACCGGATCCGCTACGCGCACCGGGTCGAAGGTCACGCAGAGGTCACCGGGGTCACTCCGGGGTCAAAAGGTCACGACAGCTTCAGGTTCATCCTCAGCGACCGAACCAACGAGACCCCGATCCAGACCTTCTACATCCACATCCGGACCAGAGAGAGAGGTCTGGACCAGGACTAGACCAGGACTGGACTGGGACTAGACCAGGACCAGACCAAGACTGGACCGGGACTAGACCGGGTCTAAACTGGGACTGAACCGGGACTAAACCGGGACTGAACCAGGACTGAACCAGGACTGGACCAGGACTGGACCAGGACTGAACTTCTCCTTTACCCCTGTCTCCTCCTCTTGACCTTTGACCTCTCAGGGGCGCTGAGGCTCAGTACTCGTCCGGCTCGGATCACGGAGGGCGAGAGACTTGTCCTGAACTCGAACTATCTCCTGGCCCAGGACTCCGGACCTCCTCAGGACCTGGTCTACAGGGTCCAGGACGGTCCTCGGCTCGGGACCCTGAGTCTGGTGAGCGCCCCCGGAGTCCCTCTGAAGAACTTCACCCAACTGGACGTGACGGCGCAGAGAGTCTGTTACACTCACGACAACAGCCACCAGGGGGCGCAAGACTCAGTCAGGTCAGTACTGCCCCAGTTTACACCAAAGGGTAACAACGTAAGAGTAACAGCAGCAGCTTCGCACGAGCGTCTCACGAGCGTCTCACGAGCGTCTCACGAGCGTCTCACGAGCGTCTCACGAGCGGCGCACGAGCGTCTCACGAGCGGCGCACGAGCGTCTCACGAGCGTCTCACGAGCGTCTCAACGAGCGTCTCACGAGCGTCTCACGAGCGTCTCACGAGCGTCGCACGAGCGTCTCACGAGCGTCACGCGTCACGAGCGTCTCACGAGCATCTCACGAGCGTCTCTCGAGCGTCTCACGAGCGTCTCACGAGCGTCGGACGAGCGTCGCGAGCGGCGGACACGAGCGGCACGAGCGAGCGGCGCACGAGCGTCTCACGAGCGTCTCACGAGCGTCTCACGAGCGTCGCACGAGCGTCTCACGAGCGTCTCACGAGCGTCTCACGAGCGTCTCACGAGCGTCGCACGAGCGTCTCACGAGCGTCGGACGAGCGTCGGACGAGCGTCGGAGCGTCGGACGAGCGTCGGACGAGCGTCGGACGAGCGTCGCACGAGCGTCTCACGAGCGCGCACGAGCGTCTCACGAGCGTCTCACGAGCGTCTCACGAGCGTCTCACGAGCGTCTCACGAGCGTCGCACGAGCGTCGCACGAGCGTCTCACGAGCGTCTCACGAGCGTCTCACGAGCGTCTCACGAGCGTCGCACGAGCGTCGGACGAGCGTCTCACGAGCGTCGGACGAGCGGCGCACGAGCGTCTCACGAGCGTCACGAGCGTCGCACGAGCGTCTCACGAGCGTCTCTCGCTCACGAGCGTCTCACGAGCGGCGCACGAGCGGCGCACGAGCGGCGCACGAGCGTCTCACGAGCGTCTCACGAGCGTCTCACGAGCGTCACGAGCGTCTCACGAGCGTCTCACGAGCGTCTCACGAGCGTCTCACGAGCGTCTCACGAGCGTCACGAGCGTCTGACGAGCGTCTCACGAGCGTCACGAGCGTCTACGAGCGGCGCACGAGCGGCGCACGAGCGTCTCACGAGCGTCACGAGCGGCGACGGCGCACGAGCGGCGCACGAGCGGCGCACGAGCGGCGCACGAGCGGCTCACGAAATAGGTTGGAGTTCTAATTTTGAAGCGTCTCCAAACTTTTATCCAAATTATATCTGTTGTGGATCAGTAAAGTTTGTTTAAATCTAAAGGCCTTTTCATGTTCATAAGAACTTTGTTCTTGAGGTGATAAGAACAAGAACAAAGTTTGTTAACATCTCAGAGATTTTGGTCCGAACTAAAAACCATGTCGATCTCCTTTATGAATTTCTTGTGTTTGTCTCTTTATCGTCACTGAGCGTCGTGTCGCACAGATGTTTGGATTTTATCTTCATTTCTTCCAACTATGACTCCTTTTATTTCTTGCTCCACACTGACGAGGAAACAGATAAACCACGAACACATAAAAGTGCTGCTGATGCTCCTGGTGTAAAGACCACTGTTAAATCTGTTTCAGTCCTGGTTCAGTCCTGGTTCAGTCCTGGTTCAGTCCTGGTTCAGTCCTGGTTCAGTCCTGGTTCAGTCCTGGTTTAGTCCTGGTTCAGTCCTGGTTTAGTCCTGGTTCAGTCCTGGTTTAGTCCTGGTTCAGTCCTGGTTTAGTCCTGGTTTAGTCCTGGTTCAGTCCTGGTTTAGTCCTGGTTCAGTCCTGGTTTAGTCCTGGTTTAGTCCTGGTTCAGTCCTGGTTCAGTCCTGGTTCAGTCCTGGTTTAGTCCTGGTTTAGTCCTGGTTTAGTCCTGGTTTAGTCCTGGTTTTAGTCCTGGTTTAGTCCTGGTTTAGTCCTGGTTCAGTCCTGGTTTAGTCCTGGTTTAGTCCTGGTTCAGTCCTGGTTTAGTCCTGGTTCAGTCCTGGTTTAGTCCTGGTTCAGTCCTGGTTTAGTCCTGGTTTAGTCTGGTTAGTCCCTGGTTTAGTCCTGGTTTAGTCTGGTTCAGTCCTGGTTTAGTCCTGGTTTAGTCCTGGTTCAGTTCTCTCTTGTCTCCTCAGTTTCGTCGTGTCTAACGGCGTCTCTTCAGTCTTTGGGTCTCTGTTGGTTCACATCGTCCACTTGGACAGAATCCCGCCCAGTCTGGTCCAGAACTCGGGACTCCGGGTCCAGGAGGGTTCCACCGGGATCATAACCAGATCTCACCTGCTCCTGACCGACCCCGACACCGCCGCGGCGAACCTCACCTACGAAATCACCCAGATGCCCCGGTACGGCAAACTCCTGCTGCACGGAACACCGCTGGACAGAACCAACAGGTCAGTGTGAAACAGAACCAACAGGTCAGTGTGAAACAGAACCAACAGGTCAGTGTGAAACAGAACCAACAGGTCAGTGTGAAACGGACCAACAGGTCAGTGTGAAACGGAACCAACAGGTCAGTGTGAAACGGAACCAACAGGTCAGTGTGAAACGGACCAACAGGTCAGTGTGAAACAGAACCAACAGGTCAGTGTGAAACAGAACCAACAGGTCAGTGTGAAACACAACAGGTGAAACACCAACAGGTCAGTGTGAAACGGACCAACAGGTCAGTGTGAAACAGAACCAACAGGTCAGTGTGAAACAGGACCAACAGGTCAGTGTGAAACAGAACCAACAGGTCAGTGTGAAACGGACCAACCAAAAGGTCAGTGTGAAAACAGAACCAACAGGTCAGTGTGAAACAGACCAACAGGTCAGTGTGAAACCAACAGGTGTGTGAAACAGACCAACAGGTCAGTGTGAAACAGAACCAACAGGTCAGTGTGAAACAGACCAGAAACAAACAGTCAGTCAAACGAAAAGGTCAGTGTGAAACAGACCAACAGGTCAGTGTGAAACAGAACCAACAGGTCAGTGTGAAACAGAACCAACAGGTCAGTGTGAAACGGACCAACAGGTCAGTGTGAAACAGAACCAACAGGTCAGTGTGAAACGGACCAAACCAAAAGGTCAGTGTGAAACAGACCAACAGGTCAGTGTGAAACAGAACCAACAGGTCAGTGTGAAACAGAACCAACAGGTCAGTGTGAAACGGACCAACAGGTCAGTGTGAAACAGAACCAACAGGTCAGTGTGAAACGGACCAAACCAAACAGGTCAGTGTGAAACAACAGGCAACAGGTCAGTGTGTGAAACGGAACCAACAGGTCAGTGTGAAACAGAACAACAACAACAGGTCAGTGTGAAACGGAACCAACAGGTCAGTGTGAAACGGACCAACAGGTCAGTGTGAAACAGAACCAACAGGTCAGTGTGAAACGGACCAAACCAACAGGTCAGTGTGAAACAGGACCAACAGGTCAGTGTGAAACAGAACCAACAGGTCAGTGTGAAAACAGAACCAACAGGTCAGTGTGAAACAGAACCAACAGGTCAGTGTGAAACGGACCAACAGGTCAGTGTGAAACAGAACCAACAGGTCAGTGTGAAACGGACCAAACCAAAGGTCAGTGTGAAACAGACCAACAGGTCAGTGTGAAACAGAACCAACAGGTCAGTGTGAAACAACCAACAGTGTGTGAAACGGACAACAGGTCAGTGTGAAACAGAACAACAGTCAGTGTGAAACGGACCAACAGGTCAGTGTGAAACACCAACAGGTCAGTGTGAAACAACAGGTCAGTGTGAAACCCAACAGGTCAGTGTGAAACGGACCAACAGGTCAGTGTGAAACGGACCAACAGGTCAGTGTGAAACGGACCAACAGGTCAGTGTGAAACAGAAGTGAGCATAGATCGGACTATCCCTCTGAAAAGGACTGGAATTACAGAGAAAGATTAAAAACATAACGGAGCACTTCCTGTATTTACTTTTAAATATATGAATAGGTTTGGTGCTCAGATCACTGACATGTTTTCAGCGTTTTGGCCTCTGTCATAAACTTTTCAAAAGATTCAAATATAAAGTGTCCAGTCGTCCCCTTGGACATGGGACAGTCCCAGTTTTGAGTCTGTGTCTCTGTCCCACAGATTTACACAAAAAAACACTGATTTGTCCAAGTTTTACACAAGAAATGTCCCAGTGTCTCTGATCCTGCAACAGTAAAGAGAAACATAAACTGACATTTGTTTTGGTCAAATACAGAAAATCTGATTAAAAACGACAAGCACAAAGAAAATGTGACTGTACTGACTCACATTAGTGCAGAGTGCAGAACAGTTTTTCTTAATTACAAACTCGTTTCACAATTTTATTATGACCAACCACCACAAACCAGAGACGTCCCAGGTTTTTATTTTGAAAATCTGGTCACTGTATTCAAATATGAAGAGTTTAAAGGCATCGTGGAGGTTAACAGCTTCGTGCAAACTAATGTCCAGAGCGCAGAGGTTTCTGTCCAAAAAGCACATTTAAAATACAAGATTCTGTGAAAATGATTTAGTAACTTTCAGAAAGTTTCAGACACAGATATTAAACAAAAGTTATAGATCTTGTTTTCTTTAGTCACCACAGAGTTAAAATTTTGAGGGAAAAAATACATGAGAAGTTTCCCCCTGGAGCTGGGGAGCACTGTTGACACCACTGGACTGAACTTTAGAGCTCACAAAGTTTCTGTTTTCACCTATCCTCTAGCTCCGCCCACTGCAGTTATCTGAAAAATTCAGACTAAAATAATAGTTTCAAACACATACTTCATTCTTCCATCAGCTCTGTTTGAGAGGCACAGAGTCACACTGCCCTCTGGTGGACTTAACCTGAACTGCCACGTTCTGATTTAAATGACATAACTTCTGTCATCGAGCTGTGGCTGCACTAAAACACAATATCCTGTGATTTTCCACTTTAAATGATCGTACTTTCCTTTCTGTTTCGTGTCTTTATATATGTGTAAATAGTTTTTGATAATAGTTTAGTGCAATGTCCCGCTGATTTGAGCCCGAGGCAGAGATGCAGTAACACGTCACATTTTAAAGTATTTTGGTTTTATTTTCTGTTTGGTCCTGTTAAATGAAACACAAAACTCACAACACAATTCTTGTAGAGGTGCAAATGCAGGGAGCAGCTAAAGTGAAAAATGCAGAGCACATTTAGATGACTGATGTCCAAAAGCTTTTTATTTTTAAATAACGTTTTGGTGAAAAAAGCCTTGGTCAGATATTTTTCTTGCTGTGGACCACAGCACACAAAACGGTCACCAACCCAGGTGCTCATGTCCCCTCCAAAGAACGGGACGTCCCAAAGTGAGTTCAGTCTAAAAAACAGTTTAGAGATTCATGTACATAAAAAAACATTCTATTAAATACAGAAATAGTTTAAGCATATCATAAAATCATCTTAGATCAAACTCTACATTCAGTTTGTGAGGAGTGAGAGTCTTACTTTGGTGAATCCAGAAATATCTTTTAGACTTTTCATTTCCAGATTCCCACCTCTAGGGGGCACTTTCACATGTTCAGTTCCATACGTATCTTAAGGAAGAGACAGGATGGTTCAAATCTAAACCACAGGATAGTTTGTTCAGTTAAACATCGACGTGTGTGTGTTGAATCTGCAGCAGAAAACAAACTTTAAATGACTGAAGAGAACAAACAAAAAGTGTCTGTTTGCTGCAGGTTTTCAGATCAGTGGGATCAGGTAGAGGCTCAAAACTTAAAGCACAACAGGCCTCCAGGCGCTTCAAAGGAAAAATAAAAATTATATATATATACATATATATATATATTGGACATGGTTTAGTCCTGGTTTAGTCCTGGTTCAGTCCTGGTTTAGTCCTGGTTCAGTCCTGGTTTAGTCCTGGTTTAGTCCTGGTTAGTCCTGGTTTAGTCCTGGTTTAGTCCTGGTTTTAGTCCTGGTTTAGTCCTGGTTTTAGTCCTGGTTTAGTCCTGGTTCAGTCCTGGTTTAGTCCTGGTTCAGTCCTGGTTTTAGTTCTGGTTCAGTCCTGGTTTAGTCCTGGTTCAGTCCTGGTTTAGTCCTGGTTCAGTCCTGGTTTAGTCCTGGTTTAGTCCTGGTTTAGTCCTGGTTCAGTCCTGGTTTAGTCCTGGTTCAGTCCTGGTTTAGTCCTGGTTCAGTCCTGGTTTTAGTTCTGGTTCAGTCCTGGTTTAGTCCTGGTTCAGTCCTGGTTTAGTCCTGGTTTAGTCCTGGTTCAGTCCTGGTTTAGTCCTGGTTTTAGTCCTGGTTCAGTCCTGGTTCAGTCCTGGTTTTGGCCCTGTTGACCTCTGACCTCTCCTCAGGCGGTTCTCTCAGTGGGACCTGGACCGGGCCGGGGTCACGTACCGACACGACCCCAAGACCCGCGCCTCCATCGACGCCTTCCACTTCCTGCCCACCGACCAATCAAACACCGGCTTCCTCCTGTACGGACGAATCAGCACCGAGCCCGCAGTCTTCACCATACAGGTACTAAACCAGGACTAAAACTGGACTAAACCAGGACTAAAACTGGACTAAAACTGGACTAAAACTGGACTAAACCAGGACTAAAACTGGACTAAAACTGGACTAAAACTGGACTAAACCAGGACTAAAACTGGACTAAACCAGGACTAAACCAGGACTAAAACTGGACTAAACCAGGACTAAAACTGGACTAAACCAGGACTAAACCAGGACTAAAACTGGACTAAACCAGGACTAAACCAGGACTAAAACCAGGACTAAAACTGGACTAAACCAGGACTAAAACTGGACTAAAACAGGACTAAACCAGGACTAAAACTGGACTAAACCAGGACTAAAACTGGACTAAAACTGGACTAAACCAGGACTAAACCAGGACTAAAACTGGACTAAACCAGGACTAAAACTGGACTAAACCAGGACTAAACCAGGACTAAAACTGGACTAAACCAGGACTAAAACTGGACTAAACCAGGACTAAAAACTGGACTAAAACCAGGACTAAACCAGGACTAAAACTGAACTAAACCAGGACTAAAACTGGACTGAACCAGGACTCAAACAGGACTAAAACTGGACTAAAACAGGACTAAAACTGGACTAAACCAGGACTAAACCAGGACTAAAACTGGTACTAAAACAGGTCTAAACCAGGACTAAAACTGGACTAAACCAGGACTGAATGAGGAAAGTAGGTTAAACCTGTTGCCAACGCTGGTGGGAGGGGCCTTGGGGAAATATGACTATTAGTAGTAGTAGTAGTAGTCTGTAGTAGTAGTAGTAGTAGTAGTATCTGTAGTAGTAGTAGTAGTAGTAGTAGTAGTAGTAGTAGTAGTAGTAGTAGTAGTAGTAGTATCTGTAGTAGTAGTAGTAGTAGTAGTAGTATCTGTAGTAGTAGTAGTAGTAGTAGTAGTATCTGTAGTAGTAGTAGTAGTAGTAGTAGTAGTATCTGTAGTAGTAGTAGTAGTAGTAGTAGTAGTAGTGTAGTAGTAGTAGTAGTAGTAGTAGTAGTAGTAGTAGTAGTAGTAGTAGTAGTAGTAGTAGTAGTAGTAGTAGTAGTAGTAGTCTGTAGTAGTAGTAGTAGTAGTAGTAGTAGTCTGTAGTAGTAGTAGTAGTAGTAGTAGTAGTGTAGTAGTAGTAGTAGTAGTAGTAGTAGTAGAGTAGTAGTATGTAGTAGTAGTAGTAGTAGTAGTAGTAGTAGTAGTAGTAGTAGTAGTAGTAGTAGTAGTAGTAGTAGTAGTAGTAGTATCTGTAGTAGTAGTAGTAGTATCTGTGTAGTAGTAGTAGTAGTAGTAGTAGTAGTAGTAGTAGTAGTAGTAGTAGTAGTAGTAGTAGTAGTAGTAGTAGTATCTGTAGTAGTAGTAGTAGTAGTAGTAGTAGTAGTAGTCTGTAGTAGTAGTAGTAGTATCTGTAGTAGTAGTAGTAGTAGTAGTAGTAGTAGTAGTAGTAGTAGTAGTAGTAGTAGTAGTAGTAGTAGTAGTAGTAGTAGTAGTAGTATCTGTAGTAGTAGTAGTAGTAGTAGTAGTAGTAGTAGTAGTAGTAGTAGTAGTAGTAGTAGTAGTAGTAGTAGTAGTAGTAGTATCTGTAGTAGTAGTAGTAGTAGTAGTAGTAGTAGTATCTGTAGTAGTAGTAGTAGTAGTAGTAGTAGTATCTGTAGTAGTAGTAGTAGTACTGAGTAGTAGTAGTAGTAGTAGTAGTATCAGTAGTAGTAGTAGTGTACCTGTAGTAGTACTACTTGTAGTAGTAGTGTCTGTAGTAATAGTACTTCCAGTAGTAGTAGTATTACCTGCAGTAGTAGTAGTAGTAGTAGTAGTATTACCTGCTGTAGTAGTAGTAGTATTACCTGCAGTAGTAGTAGTAGTAGTAGTAGTAGTAGTAGTAGTAGTAGTAGTATAGTAGTAGTAGTAGTAGTAGTAGTAGTACCTGCAGTAGTAGTAGTAGTAGTAGTAGTAGTAGTAGTACCTGCAGTAGTAGTAGTAGTAGTTACCTGCAGTAGTAGTAGTAGTAGTAGTAGTTAGTAGTAGTAGTAGTAGTAGTAGTAGTAGTAGTAGTAGTAGTAGTAGTAGTAGTAGAAGTAGTAGTAGTAGTAGTATCAGTAGTAGTAGTAGTAGTATCTGTAGTAGTAGTATCTGTAGTAGCAGTAGTAGTAGTAGTAGTACCTGTAGTAGTACTACTTGTAGTAGTAGTGTCTGTAGTAATAGTACCTGCAGTAGTAGTAGTAGTAGTTGTAGTATTACTTGCTGTAGTAGTAGTAGTAGTAGTAGTATTACCTGCAGTAGTAGTAGTAGTAGTAGTAGTTTGTAGTAGTAGTAGTAGTAGTATCTGTAGTAGTAGTAGTAGTGCAGTAGTAGTAGTAGTAGCAGTAGTAGTTGTAGTAGTAGTAGTAGTAGTAGTAGTAGTTACCTGCTGTAGTAGTTGTAGTAGTTGTAGTAGTAGTAGTAGTAGTAGTATCTGTAGTAGTAGTAGTAGTAGTAGTAGTAGTAGTAGTAGTAGTAGTAGTAGTAGTAGTAGTAGTAGTATCTGTAGTAAATGGTAAATGTCACATTTTTCTATAGCGCTTTTCCACCTTCAAGGCTCAAAGCACTTTACAACAAGGAACCACTCACCCATTCACACACACATTCACACACCAGTGCACACAGACACTGTGGGCAAGGTGGGTTAAGTGTCTTGCCCAAGGACACAACGGCAGCATTCATCTGTGGGAGCTGGAATCACACCAGCCAACCTGTGGGTCAGTGGATCTGATGCTCAACCTGTGATGTTTATGTTGAGAGCTGGATTCGAACCACCAACCTTCAAATCAGTGGGCGAATGCTCCACCAACTGAGCTACTGCCGCCCCCCTGTAGTAGTAGTAGTAGTAGTCGTAGTAGTAGTGGTAGTAGTAGTATCTGTAGTAGTAGTAGTAGTAGTAGTATCAGTAGTAGTAGTAGTAGTAGTAGTAGTAGTAGTAGTAGTAGTAGTAGTAGTAGTATCTGTAGTAGTAGTAGTAGTAGTAGTAGTAGTAGTAGTAGTAGTAGTAGTAGTAGTAGTAGTAGTAGTAGTAGTAGTAGTAGTAGTATCTGTAGTAGTAGTAGTATCTGTAGTAGCAGTAGTAGTAGTATCTGTAGTAGCAGTAGTAGTAGTAGTAGTACCTGTAGTAGTACTACTTGTAGTAGTAGTGTCTGTTGTAATAGTACTTGCAGTAGTAGTAGTATTACCTGCAGTAGTAGTAGTAGTAGTTGTAGTATTACTTGCTGTAGTAGTAGTAGTAGTATTACCTGCAGTAGTAGTAGTAGTAGTAGTAGTAGCAGTAGTAGTTGTAGTAGTAGTAGTAGTAGTAGTAGTAGTAGTAGTAGTAGTAGTAGTAGTAGTAGTAGTACCTGCAGTAGTAGTAGTAGTAGTATTAGTATTACCTGCTGCAGTAGTAGTAGTATTACCTGCTGCAGTAGTAGTAGTAGTATTACCTGCTGCAGTAGTAGTAGTAGTAGTATTACCTGCTGCAGTAGTAGTAGTATTACCTGCTGCAGTAGTAGTAGTATTACCTGCTGCAGTAGTAGTAGTAGTATTACCTGCTGCAGTAGTAGTAGTAGTATTACCTGCTGCAGTAGTAGTAGTAGTAGTAGTAGTAGTATTACCTGCTGCAGTAGTAGTAGTAGTAGTAGTAGTATTACCTGCTGCAGTAGTAGTAGTAGTATTACCTGCTGCAGTAGTAGTAGTAGTAGTAGTAGTACCTGCTGCAGTAGTAGTAGTAGCTAGTAGTAGTATTACCTGCTGCAGTAGTAGTAGTAGTATTACCTGCTGCAGTAGTAGTAGTAGTATTACCTGCTGCAGTAGTAGTAGTAGTATTACCTGCTGCAGTAGTAGTAGTAGTATTACCTGCTGCAGTAGTAGTAGTACTAATACCCGCAGTAGTAGTATTAGTACTTGTGTTGTGTTGCAGATCGAGCGTCCGGACTCTCCGCCGTCGCTCGTCTCCAGACTCTCGCCGTCGCTGGTCTCGGCTCTGGGCTCCGGACGCTTCGGGATCATCCTGGACCGGTCCAACCTCCAGGCCTCAGACCCGGACTCTGACGACCAGGACCTGACTTACACCATCACCTCAGGTCCTCAACACGGACACCTGGAGAACATGCTCACAGGTACCACGCTGTAGACCTGAGGTAGACCTGAGGTAGAACTGAGGTAGACCTGAGATAGACCTGAGGTAGACCTAAGGTAGACCTGAGGTAGAACTGAGGTAGTCCTGAGATAGACCTGAGGTAGACCTGAGGTAGAACTGAGGTAGTCCTGAGGTAGATCTGAGGTAGTCCTGAGGTAGACCTGAGGTAGACCTGAGGTAGTCCTGAGGTAGACCTGAAGTAGTCCTGAGGTAGACCTGAGTAGACCTGAGGTAGAACTGAGGTAGTCCTGAGGTAGACCTGAGGTAGACCTGAGGTAGACCTGAGGTAGTCCTGAGGTAGACCTGAGGTAGAACTGAGGTAGACCTGAGGCAGACCTGAGGTAGACCTGCTGTAGACCTGAGGTAGACCTGAGGTAGTCCTGAGGTAGACCTGAGGTAGTCCTGAGGTAGACCTGAGGTAGACCTGCTGTAGACCTGAGGTAGAACTGAGGTAGTCCTGAGGTAGACTGAGGTAGTCCTGAGGTAGACCTGAGGTAGTCCTGAGGTAGACCTGAGGTAGACCTGAGGTAGACCTGAGGTAGTCCTGAGGTAGACCTGAGGTAGTCCTGGTTCAGTCCTGGTGTAGTCCTGGTTTAGTCCTGGTTTAGTTGCTGTTTCAGTCCTGGTTTAGTCCTGGTTTAGTCCTGGTTCAGTCCTGGTTTAGTCCTGGTTTACTCCTGGTTTAGACCTGGTTTAGTCCTGGTTTAGTCCTGGATCAGTCCTGGTTTAGTCCTGATTTAGTCCTGGTTTACTCCTGGTTTAGACCTGGTTTAGTCCTGGTTTAGTCCTGGTTTAGACCTGGTTTAGTCCTGGAATCAGTCCTGGTTTAGTCCTGATTTAGTCCTGGTTTACTCCTGGTTTAGACCTGGTTTAGTCCTGGTTTAGTCCTGGTTTAGACCTGGTTTAAGTCCTGGTTTACCTGGTTTAGTCCTGGTTTAGTCCTGGTTTAGTCCTGGTTTAGTCCTGGTTTAGTCCTGGTTTAGTTCTGTGTTCAGTCCTGGTTTAGTCCTGGTTTAGTCCTGGTTTAGTCTGGTTTAGTCCTGGTTTAGTCTGGTTTAGTCCTGGTTTCCTGGTTAGTCCTGGTTTAGTCCTGGTTTATGGTTTAGTCCTGGTTCAGTCCTGGTTTAGTCCTGGTTTACTCCTGGTTTATGTTTAGTCCTGGTTTTGGTTTAGACCTGGTTAGTCCTGGTTTAGTCCTGGTTTAGTCCTGGTTTAGTCCTGGTTTAGTCCTGGTTTACTCCTGGTTTAGACCTGGTTTAGTCCTGGTTTAGTCCTGGTTTAGTCCTGGTTTAGTCCTGGTTTAGTCCTGGTTTAGTCCTGGATCAGTCCTGGTTTAGTCCTGATTTAGTCCTGGTTTACTCCTGGTTTAGACCTGGTTTAGTCCTGGTTTAGTCCTGGTTTAGTCCTGGATCAGTCCTGGTTTAGTCCTGATTTAGTCCTGGTTTACTCCTGGTTTAGACCTGGTTTAGTCCTGGTTTAGTCCTGGTTTAGACCTGGTTTAGTCCTGGTTTAGTCCTGGTTTAGTCCTGGATCAGTCCTGGTTTAGTCCTGATTTAGTCCTGGTTTACTCCTGGTTTAGACCTGGTTTAGTCCTGGTTTAGTCCTGGTTTAGTCCTGGTAGTCCTGTTTAGTCCTGTTTAGTCCTGGTTTAGTTTAGTTCTGTTTCAGTCCTGGTTTAGTCCTGGTTAAGTCCTGGTTTAGTCCTGGTTTAGTTCTGTTTCAGTCCTGGTTTAGTCCTGGTTTAGACCTGGTTTAGTCCTGGTTTAGTCCTGGTTTAGTCCTGGTTTAGTCCTGGTTTAGTTAGTCCTTGTTTCGTCCTGGTTTAGTGTTCTGTTTCAGTCCTGGTTTAGTCCTGGTTTAGTCCTGGTTTAGTTCTGTTTCAGTCCTGGTTTAGTTCCTGGTTTAGTCCTGGTTTAGTTGGTTTCCTGGTTTAGTTCTGTTCAGTCCTGGTTTGTCCTGGTTAGTCTGGTCTGGTTTAGTCCTGTAGTCCTGGTTTAGTCCTGGTTTAGTTCTGTTTCAGTCCTGGTTTAGTCTGGTTTAGTTCTGTTTCAGTCCTGGTTTAGTCCTGGTTTAGTTGGTTTAGTTCTGTGTCAGTCCTGGTTTAAGTCCTGGTTTAGTCCTCTGGTTTAGTCCTGGTTAGTCCTGGTTTAGTCCTGGTTTAGTCTGTTTCAAGTCCTGGTTTAGTCCTGTCCTGGTTTAGTCCTGGTTTAGTTCTGTTTCAGTCCTGGTTTAAGTCCTGGTTTAGTTCTGTTTCAGTCCTGGTTTCCTGGTTTAGTCCTGGTTTTAGTTCTGTTTCAGTCCTGGTTTAGTCCTGGTTTAGTTCTGTGTCAGTCTGGTTCAGTCCTGGTTCAGTCTGGTTTAGTCCTGGTTTAGTTCTGTTTCAGTCCTGGTTAGTCCTGGTTTAGTCCTGGTTTAGTTCTGTTTCAGTCCTGGTTTAGTCCTGGTTTAGTCTGTTTTCAGTCCTGGTTCAGTCCTGGTTTAGTCCTGTGTCCAGTCCTGGTTCAGTCCTGGTTTAGTCTGGTTCAGTCCTGGTTCAGTCCTGGTTCAGTCTGGTTCCTGGTTCAGTCCTGGTTCCTGGTTCAGTCCTGGTTCAGTCCTGGTTTCAGTCCTGGTTCAGTCCTGGTTTAGTCCTGGTTCAGTCCTGGTTTAGTCCTGGTTCAGTCCTGGTTTAGTCCTGGTTTAGTCCTGGTTCTAGTCCTGGTTTAGTCCTGGTTTAGTCCTGGTTTAGTTCTGTGTCAGTCCTGGTTTAGTCCTGGTTAAGTCCTTGTTTAGTCCTGGTTTAGTTCTGTTTCAGTCCTGGTTTAGTCCTGGTTTAGTTCTGTTTCAGTCCTGGTTTAGTCCTGGTTTAGTTCTGTTTCAGTCCTGGTTTAGTCCTGGTTTAGTTCTGTGTCAGTCCTGGTTTTGTCCTGGTTTAGTTCTGTTTCAGTCCTGGTTAGTCCTGGTTTAGTCCTGTTTAGTTCTGTTCAGTCCTGGTTTAGTCCTGGTTTAGTCCTGGTTTAGTTCTGTTTCAGTCTGGTTTAGTCCTGGTTTAGTTCTGTTTCAGTCCTGGTTTAGTCCTGGTTTAGTTCTGTTTCAGTCCTGGTTTAGTCCTGGTTTAGTTCTGTGTCAGTCCTGGTTTCAGTCCTGGTTCAGTCGTCCTGGTTTAGTCCTGGTTTAGTCTGTTTCAGTCCTGGTTTAGTCCTGGTTTAGTCTGGTTTAGTTCTGTTTCAGTCCTGGTTTAGTCCTGGTTTAGTTCTGTTCAGTCCTGGTTTAGTCCTGGTTTAGTTCCTGTTTCAGTCCTGGTTAGTCCTGGTTTAGTCCTGGTTCAGTCCTGGTTCAGTCCTGGTTCAGTCCTGGTTCAGTCCTGGTTCAGTCCTGGTTTAGTCCTGGTTCAGTCTGGTTTCAGTCCTGGTTCAGTCCTGGTTTCAGTCCTGGTTTAGTCCTGGTTTAGTCCTGGTTCAGTCCTGGTTTAGTCCTGGTTTAGTCCTGGTTTAGTCCTGGTTTAGTCCTGGTTTAGTCCTGGTTTAGTTCTGTTTCAGTCCTGGTTTAGTTCTGTGTCAGTCCTGGTTTAGTCCTGGTTAAGTCCTGGTTTAGTCCTGGTTTAGTTCTGTTTCAGTCCTGGTTTAGTCCTGGTTTAGTTCTGTTTCAGTCCTGGTTTAGTCCTGGTTTAGTTCTGTTTCAGTCCTGGTTTAGTCCTGGTTTAGTTCTGTGTCAGTCCTGGTTTTGTCCTGGTTTAGTTCTGTTTCAGTCCTGGTTAAGTCCTGGTTTAGTCCTGGTTTAGTTCTGTTCAGTCCTGGTTTAGTCCTGGTTTAGTCCTGGTTTAGTTCTGTTTCAGTCCTGGTTTAGTCCTGGTTTAGTTCTGTTTCAGTCCTGGTTTAGTCCTGGTTTAGTTCTGTGTCAGTCCTGGTTTAGTCCTGTTTCAGTCCTGGTTTAGTCCTGATTTAGTTCTGTTTCAGTCCTGGTTTAGTCCTGGTTTAGTTCTGTGTCAGTCCTGGTTCAGTCCTGGTTCAGTCCTGGTTTAGTCCTGGTTTAGTTCTGTTTCAGTCCTGGTTAAGTCCTGGTTTAGTCCTGGTTTAGTTCTGTTTCAGTCCTGGTTTAGTCCTGGTTTAGTTCTGTTTCAGTCCTGGTTTAGTCTTGGTTTAGGTCTGTGTCAGTCCTGGTTCAGTCCTGGTTTAGTCCTGGTTTCAGTCCTGGTTCAGTCCTGGTTCAGTCCTGGTTCAGTCCTGGTTCAGTCTGGTTTCCTGGTTCAGTCCTGGTTCAGTCCTGGTTCAGTCCTGGTTCAGTCCTGGTTTAGTCCTGGTTCAGTCCTGGTTCAGTCCTGGTTCAGTCCTGGTTCAGTCCTGGTTTAGTCCTGGTTTAGTCCTGGTCTGTTTCAGGTTCGTACATTCAGAGTCGTTTCACTCAGAGGGACGTCAACCAGAAGTCGGTGGTTTATTTACTTCCTGTCGACGTCGACGTCACAAACGACCACTTCCTGTTGGTTCTGTCCGACCCGGCGGGAAACAGCCTGCCCCCTCGGAGGTGAGTCCGGTCCCGGTCCGGTCCCAGTTCGGTCTCTGTGTAGTCCCGGTCCGGTCCCGGTCCGGTCTCTGTGTAGTCCTGGTCTGGTCCTGGTTCTAACCCGGTCTTCCTTCAGACTGGACCTGTCGTGGTCTCGGGTGCAGTTCTCGGCCTCATGTTTCAGGACGTGTGAAACTTCAGGAACTTTACAGATCCAAGTCCAAAGAACCGGGTCCAGCTCCGACCCGGCGTATGTCTCTATACAGGTACAAGTACTACAAGTACTACAAGTACTACAAGTACTACTACTGACACTACTACTACTACTACTACTACTACTACTACTACTACTACTACTACTACTACTACTACTACTACTACTACTACTACTACTTACTACTACTACTACTACTGCTACTACTACTACTAGCTGCTGCTGCTGCTGCTACTACTACTACTACTACTACTACTACTACTACTACTACTACTACTACTGCTTCTACTACTACTACTACTACTAGTACTACTACTACTACTACTATTACTACTACTGCTATTACTACTACTGCTTCTACTACTAGTACTACTACTACTACTACTACTACTACTACTACTACTACTAGTACTAGTGCTACTGCTACTGTTACTACTAAGAGTAGTAGTAGTAGTAGTAGTGTCAGTAGTAGTAGTAGTAGTAGTAGTAGTGATCGTGGTGTTCTGTCGTGGTTCTTGTGTTCCAGGTGGAAGGGGGCGGGGCTAAAGTGGGCGTGGACTTCACTCACAGCTCGGCGTCGCTGCTGCAGTTTGACCCAGGTCAGAGTCACGTGTTTTTATTAAAGCTGCACTGTGGAACATTTCTCCAGCCGGGAGAGTTACACAGAGCAGATTTAAACCCCGAGAGAAGAACGGAGAAAAGTTCTAACGTCGTTTTATTCACACTTTTATAACACACAAACCTGCAGGAAACACTCTGTTCCAACTCGTGATGTCATCATGTGATTGGGGTAATATGTGAATGAAACAAAACACAGCTCCAGCTCTGTTTGTGACGAGGAACAGTAGAACAGTAGAACATTAGAACATTAGAACAGTAGAACATTAGAACATTAGAACAGTAGAACAGTAGAACATTAGAACACTAGAACAGTAGAACATTAGAACATTAGAACAGTAGAACAGTAGAACATTAGAACACTAGAACAGTAGAACATTAGAACATTAGAACATTAGAACAGTAGAACAGTAGAACAGTAGAACAGTAGAACAGTAGAACATTAGAACATTAGAACAGTAGAACATTAGAACAGTAGAACAGTAGAACAGTAGAACAGTAGAACAGTAGAACAGTAGAACATTAGAACAGTAGAACAGTAGAACATTAGAACAGTTAGAACAGTAGAACAGTTAGAACAGTAGAACATTAGAACATTAGAACAGTAGAACATTAGAACAGTTAGAACAGTAGAACAGTAGAACAGTAGAACAGTAGAACATTAGAACAGTAGAACAGTAGAACAGTAGAACATTAGAACAGTAGAACAGTAGAACAGTAGAACAGTAGAACATTAGAACAGTAGAACAGTAGAACACTAGAACAGTAGAACAGTAGAACAGTAGAACAGTAGAACAGTAGAACATTAGAACAGTAGAACAGTAGAACATAGAACATAGAACAGTAGAACATAGAACAGTAGAACAGTAGAACAGAACATAGAACAGTTAGAACAGTAGAACAGTAGAACAGTAGAACAGTAGAACAGTAGAACAGTAGAACATTAGAACAGTAGAACAGTAGAACAGTAGAACATTAGAACAGTAGAACAGTAGAACACTAGAACAGTAGAACATTAGAACAGTAGAACATTAGAACAGTAGAACAGTAGAACAGTAGAACTAGAACAGTAGAACATTAGAACAGTAGAACATTAGAACAGTAGAACAGTAGAACAGTAGAACATTAGAACAGTAGAACAGTAGATAGAACATTAGAACAGTAGAACAGTAGAACATTAGAACAGTAGAACAGTAGAACAGTAGAACAGTAGAACAGTAGAACAGTAGAACATTAGAACAGTAGAACAGTAGAACAGTAGAACATAGAAGAACAGTAGAACATTAGAACAGTAGAACAGTAGAACATTAGAACAGTAGAACAGTAGAACAGTAGAACATTAGAACAGTAGAACAGTAGAACAGTAGAACAGTAGAACATTAGAACAGTAGAACAGTAGAACAGTAGAACATTAGAACAGTAGAACAGTAGAACAGTAGAACATTAGAACAGTAGAACAGTAGAACAGTAGAACAGTAGAACAGTAGAACAGTAGAACAGTAGAACAGTAGAACATTAGAACAGTAGAACAGTAGAACAGTAGAACAGTAGAACATTAGAACAGTAGAACAGTAGAACATTAGAACAGTAGAACAGTAGAACATTAGAACAGTAGAACAGTAGAACAGTAGAACATTAGAACAGTTAGAACATTAGAACATAGAACAGTAGAACAGTAGAACATAGAACAGTAGAACAGTAGAACAGTAGAACAGTAGAACATTAGAACAGTAGAACAGTAGAACAGTAGAACAGTAGAACATTAGAACAGTAGAACAGTAGAACATTAGAACAGTAGAACAGTAGAACAGTAGAACATTAGAACAGTAGAACAGTAGAACATTAGAACAGTAGAACAGTAGAACAGTAGAACATTAGAACAGTAGAACACTTAGAACAGTAGAACATTAGAACATTAGAACAGTAGAACAGTAGAACAGTAGAACATTAGAACAGTAGAACAGTAGAACAGTAGAACAGTAGAACATTAGAACAGTAGAACAGTAGAACAGTAGAACATTAGAACATTAGAACAGTAGAACATTAGAACAGTAGAACATTAGAACAGTAGAACATTAGAACATTAGAACAGTAGAACATAGAACAGTAGAACATTAGAACAGTAGAACACATTAGAACAGTAGAACAGTAGACATTAGAACATTAGAACAGTAGAACAGTAGAACAGTAGAACATTAGAACAGTAACAGAACATTAGAACAGTAGAACAGTAGAACATTAGAACAGTAGAACATTAGAACAGTAGAACAGTAGAACATTAGAACAGTAGAACAGTAGAACAGTAGAACAGTAGAACAGTAGAACAGTAGAACATTAGAACAGTAGAACAGTAGAACATTAGAACAGTAGAACATTAGAACAGTAGAACAGTAGAACATAACATTAGAACATTAGAACAGTAGAACATTAGAACAGTTAGAACAGTAGAACATAGAACAGTAGAACAGTAGAACATTAGAACAGTAGAACAGTAGAACATTAGAACAGTAGAACAGTAGAAACATTAGAAACAGAACAGTAGAACATTAGAACAGTAGAACAGTAGAACATTAGAACAGTAGAACAGTAGAACAGTAGAACAGTAGAACAGTAGAACAGTAGAACATAGAACAGTAGAACATTAGAACAGTAGAACATTAGAACAGTAGAACATAGAACAGTTAGAACAGTAGAACACATTAGAACATTAGAACATTAGAACAGTAGAACAGTAGAACATAGAACAGTAGAACAGTAGAACATTAGAACAGTAGAACAGTAGAACATTAGAACAGTAGAACAGTTAGAACAGTAGTAGACATAGAACAGTAGAACATTAGAACAGTAGAACATTAGAACAGAACAGTAGAACATTAGAACAGTTAGAACAGTAGAACATAGAACAGTAGAACAGTTAGAACAGTAGAACAGTAGAACAACAGTAGAACATTAGAACAGTAGAACAGTAGAACAGTTAGAACAGTAGAACATTAGAACAGTAGAACAGTAGAACATTAGAACAGTTAGAACAGTAGAACATTAGAACAGTAGAACAGTAGAACAGTTAGAACAGTTAGAACAGTTAGAACAGTAGAACATTAGAACAGTAGAACAGTAGAACAGTAGAACATTAGAACATTAGAACAGTAGAACATTAGAACAGTAGAACATTAGAACAGTAGAACATTAGAACAGTAGAACATTAGAACAGTAGAACATTAGAACATTAGAACAGTAGAACATTAGAACAGTAGAACAGTTAGAACAGTAGAACATTAGAACAGTAGAACATTAGAACAGTAGAACAGTAGAACATAGAACATTAGAACATTAGAACAGTAGAACATTAGAACAGTAGAACATTAGAACAGTAGAACAGAGAACAGTAGAACAGTTAGAACAGTAGAACATTAGAACATTAGAACAGTAGAACAGTAGAACATTAGAACAGAACAGTAGAACATTAGAACAGTAGAACATTAGAACAGTAGAACATTAGAACAGTAGAACAGTAGAACATTAGAACAGTAGAACATTAGAACAGTAGAACAGTAGAACAGTAGAACATTAGAACATTAGAACATTAGAACATTAGAACAGTAGAACAGTAGAACAGTAGAACATTAGAACAGTTAGAACAGAGAACATTAGAACAGTAGAACATAGAACATAGAACAGAACAGTAGAACATAGAACATAGAACATAGAACAGTAGAACATTAGAACATTAGAACAGTAGAACATAGAACATTAGAACAGTAGAACATTAGAACAGTAGAACATTAGAACATTAGAACAGTAGAACAGTAGAACATTAGAACATTAGAACAGTAGAACATTAGAACAGTAGAACATTAGAACAGTAGAACATTAGAACAGTAGAACATTAGAACAGTTAGAACATTAGAACATTTTAAGGTCGCAGGAGTCTGTTTTGTTGGATCTTGGAGCTTTAAATCTTCATGTTTGTGTTTTTTTTTCAGGTGTAAATGTAAAAACCTGGAACATTTTCCCGATCGCCGACGGTCTGGAGGAAAACCACGAGTCCTTCACCGTTCACCTGAAAAAACCCCAGAACACAGTCCTCGGAACCAGGACCTCAGCCCGGGTCGAGATCCTGGACCCCAGACAAGGTCCCAACAAGACCAGAGCTAGACCAGGACTGGAACTGGACTAAGACAGAACTAAACTAAGACTAAGACAGGACTAAACCAGGACTAAACCAGGACTAAACCTTGACTAAACCAGGTCTAAACCAGGACTAAACCAGGACTAAACCAGGTTTAAATAAGGACTAAACCAGGACTAAATCAGGTCTAAACCAGGACTAAACCAGGTCTAAACCAGGTCTAAACCAGGACTAAATCAGGTCTAAACCAGGACTAAACCAGAACTAAACCAGGACTAAACCAGAACTAAACCAGGACTAAACCAGGACTAAACCAGAACTAAACCAGACTAAACCAGGACTAAACCAGAACTAAACTATGACTAAACCAGGACTAAACCAGGACTAAACCAGGACTAAACCAGGTCTAAACCAGGACTAATCCAGGACTAAACCAGGACTAAACCAGAACTAAACCAGGACTAAACCAGAACTAAACCAGGACTAAACCAGAACTAAACTAAGATTAAACCAGGACTAAACCAGGTCTAAACCAGGACTAAACCAGGACTAAATCAGGTCTAAACCAGGACTAAACCAGGTCTAAACCAGGACTAAACCAGGACCAGGACTAAACCAGGACTAAACAGGTCTAAACCAGGTCTAAACCAGGACTAAACCAGGTCTAAACCAGGACTAAACCAGGACTAAACCAGGACTAAACCAGGACTAAACCAGGACTAAACCAGGACTAAACCAGGACCCAGGTCTAAACCAGGACTAAACCAGGACTAAACCAGGACTAAACCAGGTCTAAACCAGGACTAAACCAGGACTAAACCAGGTCTAAACCAGGACTAAACCAGGACTAAACCAGGACTAAACCAGGACTAAACCAGGACCTATTGTGATCCATTTTTCTTTGATCTAAACCAGGACTTTGATTTTCCAGGTCGCTGTGATCCTTTTGAGACTTTTGAGGACTTCGTTCCATTGGTCCCTCCTGGTCCAGATCCTGGTCTCAGTCCTGGTCCAGACCCTGGTCCAGACCCTGGTCCAGAAAAAGACTTAGACCCTGTTACAGAAATCGAGACCGAGTTGATCTTTGAACCAGATCCACGGAGTCCCCCCCGAGGAGACGTCCCCAACCGAGAACTGGACTTCAGCCTGAGGGACCAGGCCTGGACCCAGGACCAAGACCAAACCGGCCTGTACCAGGACCTCAGAGACCAGACGTGGACCCACCCCAAGGACCTAAGGAGGTACCAGACCCAAGTCCAGACCCAGGTCCACAAAGAGACCCGTGTGGACCCGGGACAGAGGGTGAGTCCTGCAGTTCCTCTGACGTCCACCACAGGGCGCTCTGTCCCACCGCTGCGGGTTATTATCAGAGAGAGAGAGGAGGCACAGACTGTACTCGAGTAAAAGTACTGTTACTATTACTATAAAAATATCACTCAAGTCAGAGTAAAAGTACCACCACTCTGTAACGACCAGGTTTCCACGTCCCGGACCAAAACACAAAAGACCCAAAGTTATACAGCTGAACGAGACTAGACCTGGTTTAGTCCTGGTTTAGTCCTGGTTTAGACCTGGTTTAGACCTGGTTTAGTCCCTGGTTTAGACCTGGTTTAGACCTGGTTTAGTCCCTGGTTTAGACCTGGTTTAGTCCCTGGTTTAGTCCTGGTTTAGACCTGGTTTAGTCCTGGTTTTAGTCCTGGTTTAGACCTGGTTTAGTCCTGGTTTAGTCCTGGTTTTAGTCCTGGTTTAGTCCTGGTTTAGACCTGGTTTAGTCCTGGTTTAGTCCTGGTTTAATCCTGGTTTAGTCCTGGTTTAATCCTGGTTTAGGTTAGTCCTGGTTAGACCAGAGGTCAGAGGTCAGAGGAGCACTTGGTGATGTCATAGATTCAGAAAGAGGGCGGGGCTTACGTTGCCGTGGGAGATTCACTGTTTTGTCTGTCAGATGTTTTTCTCCATGGAGATGAAATTGCTCTGTCTGAAATGTTTCACAGTGTGGCATTAAACCTTTACTTCAATAAAAATATCACTCAAGTCAGAGTAAAAGTACACGGACAGAAAGATTCCTCAGAAGTTACTCGAGTAAAAGTAACTGAGTAAATATAAGTACAGGTGTGGCTCTGAGGGACTGAACATGTGTTGAGTTTTGACACTTCTCACATCAAAGAAAAAGAATCTCACTAAAAATTAGATTTAGGGCCTTAAAAAAAAGTCCTGTTACATTTGTGAGTTTTTGTGATATTTTTTATTTGTGGATTTGGAGACAAAACTGGTCCTGACTCTGCTCAGAATATTTTTTCACAGTCAAATGCCACGTTTACATGAATAATTTAATTCTGAATGAAAATAATTTAATTCTGAATAAAAATAATTTAATTCTGAATAATATTTTACATGTAAACCTCAATTCAGGATTATTACTGTATTTCCATATAAAGTCAAAGGAGAATATTTTAATTCCGAACAATTTAATTCAGAACAATTCGGTTTTAGAGGCTCCAAATCTGTTTTATGAACTTTTTTTAAAAATGTTTTTGATGAATTTATGAAGAGTTTGTTTTGTGTAGGTGCACTTGTCCACAGAGAGGGGGCAGGAGCGAGTCTGGACGGTGAGTTTTTCATTTGTTCACAACAGAATAAAAGTTTAGATTTGTCTGATTTCAGATAAACACCTGAGCTGAGACAGGTGAGACAGGTGAGAGACAGGTGAGACAGGTGAGACAGGTGAGAGACAGGTGAGACAGGTGAGAGACAGGTGAGACAGGTGAGACAGGTGAGAGGAGCAGGTGAGACAGAGGTGAGACAGGTGAGACAGGTGAGACAGGTGAGGTGAGACAGGTGAGGGACAGGTGAGGCACAGGTGAGACAGGTCAGGTGAGACAGGTGAGACAGGTGAGAGACAGGTGAGACAGGTGAGACAGGTGAGAGACAGGTGAGAGGTGAGACAGGTGAGACAGGTGAGACAGGTGAGAAGGCAGGTGAGACACGGGAGAGGTGAGGCAGGTGAGGCAGGTGAGACAGGTGAGACAGGTGAGACAGGTGAGAGACAGGTGAGGAGAGACAGGTGAGACAGGTGAGGAGACAGGTGAGTGAGAGACAGGTGAGACAGGTGAGAGACAGGTGAGACAGGTGAGACAGGTGAGACAGGTGAGACAGGTGAGACAGGTGAGACAGGTGAGACAGGTGAGACAGGTGAGACAGGTGAAACAGGTGAGACAGGTGAGACAGGTGAGACAGGTGAGACAGGTGAGGCAGGTGAGAGACAGGTGAGACAGGTGAGAGACAGGTGAGACAGGTGAGACAGGTGAGGCAGGTGAGCAGGTGAGACAGCAGTAGACAGGTGAGCAGGTGAGACAGGTGAGACAGGTGAGGCAGGTGAGACAGGTGAGACAGGTGAGGCAGGTGAGAGCAGGTGAGACAGGTGAGAGGTGAGACAGGTGAGACAGGTGAGAGACAGGTGAGACAGGTGAGAGACAGACAGGTGAGACAGGTGAGGCAGGTGAGACAGGTGAGACAGGTGAGGCAGGGAGGAAGGTGAGACAGGTGAGGGACAGGTGAGACAGGTGAGAGGTGAGACAGGTGAGACAGGTGAGACAGGTGAGAGACAGGTGAGGCAGGTGAGACAGGGGAGACAGGTGAGACAGGTGAGACAGGTGAGGCAGGTGAGCAGGTGACAGGTGAGACAGGTGAGAGGTGAGACAGGTGAGACAGGTGAGACAGGTGAGGCAGGTGAGACAGGTGAGACAGGTGAGACAGGTGAGACAGGTGAGACAGGTGAGACAGGTGAGACAGGTGAGAGACAGGTGAGACAGGTGAGACAGGTGAGACAGGTGAGACAGGTGAGAGGTGAGGCAGGTGAGACAGGTGAGACAGGTGAAACGGGAGAGACAGGTGAGACAGGAGAGACAGGTGAGACAGGTGAGACAGGTGAGACAGGTGAGACAGGTGAGGACAGGTGAGGCAGGTGAGAGACAGGTGAGACAGGTGAGACAGGTGAGGCAGGTGAGACAGGTGAGACAGGTGAGGCAGGTGAGACAGGTGAGACAGGTGAGGCAGGTGAGAGACAGGTGAGGCAGGTGAGACAGGTGAGACAGGTGAGCAGGTGAAGACAGGTGAGGGTGAGGCAGGTGAGACAGGTGAGGCAGGGACAGGTGAGACAGGTGAGGCAGGTGAGGCAGGTGAGACAGGTGAGGCAGGTGAGACAGGTGAGGCAGGTGAGGCAGGTGAGACAGGTGAGACAGGTGAGGCAGGTGAGACAGGTGAGGCAGGTGAGACAGGTGAGACAGGTGAGACAGGTGAGAGACAGGTGAGACAGGTGAAGACAGGTGAGACAGGTGAGGCAGGTGAGACAGGTGAGACAGGTGAGACAGGTGAGACAGGTGAGGCAGGTGAGAGACAGGTGAGACAGGTGAGACAGGTGAGACAGGTGAGGCAGGTGAGACAGGTGAGACAGGTGAGACAGGTGAGACAGGTGAGACAGGTGAGACAGGTGAGACAGGTGAGACAGGTGAGGCAGGTGAGACAGGTGAGGCAGGTGAGACAGGTGAGACAGGTGAGACAGGTGAGACAGGTGAGACAGGTGAGGCAGGTGAGACAGGTGTGAGACAGGTGAGACAGGTGACAGGTGAGACAGGTGAGACAGGTGAGACAGGTGAGACAGGTGAGACAGCAGGTGAGACAGGTGAGACAGGTGAGACAGGTGAGACAGGTGAGACAGGTGAGACAGGTGAGACAGGTGAGACAGGTGAGGCAGGTGAGACAGGTGAGACAGGTGAGACAGGTGAGACAGGTGAGACAGGTGAGACAGGTGAGGCAGGTGAGACAGGTGAGACAGGTGAGACAGGTGAGAGTGTCAGGTGGAGTTTGCTGTAACTGTTCAGTCTTTTCTCTGTATAAATAAACATAAATAAACATAAGTTAAATGTTTTTGTTCGCGGTCGTTTCAGAAAGTGGATGTTGTTATTCAGCCTAAAGACCAGAGATTTTCCTCTGAAAGGATTTAAAGTGTAAAATTAGTTTGACGAGTTTGTGGAGCTGATCTCAAACACAGAATGAGCAGGAGAAACGTTTGTGGATCATAAAGTTTGTAGATTTATTTTAAAACAGTGAACAGTGGTGTTGTTCAGGTCGTGTTCTTGTTCTGGAGACCAGAAGTGACCTGGTTCTTCTGTTCTTCAGTTTCACGCCCTGACGCCGCTCAGAGTGGAGCAGGTCCAGGATCAGCCGCTCAGAGACGCCCCGGCACCAGCAGAGGGCGCAACATCCCCACGTGAACCAGCAGAGGGCGCCACATCCCCACGTGAACCAGCAGAGGGCGCCACATCCCCACGTGAACCAGCAGAGGGCGCCACATCCCCACGTGAACCAGCAGAGGGCGCCACATCTCCTCCTGAAACACCAGGGGGAGCCACTGCACCACAGGTCAGACTCCAGGGCTGTTCAGACCAGAGCGTCCAGCCTCCAGTTTCTGTGTAAAGTCTTTGTGGCTCGTCTGGGGCGTCTTGTGTTTTTGCGGTGCGTCTTGAGCGTTTTGGCGTTGATGCTCTGCACATCCAAGGCGTCAGCGTCAGAAGTTGAAAATGCTGAACTTTTCAGAGACGAGGATCCAGAGACATGAGACGTTTTATCAGCAAGAAAAAGAAAAATCCAAGAACCAGAACCACAAACATGAGAAGAGAATAAATATAAACATCACAATCACAGAGGAGATCACCAGAACTAAACCAGAACTAAACCAGGACTAAACCAGGACTAAACCAGGACTAAACCAGGACTAAACCAGGACTAAACCAGGAAACTAAACCAGAACTAAACCAGGAACTAAACCAGAACTAAACCAGAACTAAAACCAGGAACTAAACCAGAACTAAACCAGGACT